AATTTTTTTTTTTTTTTAAGGGTAGATTAATTTGTAAAGGGAGTAGAGGAAAAACCATCCATCCATTAATCTTTTTCCATCCAATTTTTAGATACGATATCGATACTAATAGTATACTTAATTTAATTGATCGATGGATTATGGTCATTGATAGTAGTAAGCTTGGACAAGATTTGAGGGAAATTTTTATGGAAAGTAGAAGAAATATTGAAGCATTAAAAAGGAGAAAGAATGAATAAAAATCTTAAATGTGATAATTATTTTTGGAAGTTTATTGTTTTTATTGTATTTTGATAATCAAGTTGTAGTTTATATGGTTTTTAATATTACAAATTTTTGCGTTTATAGAAGAGATCATTATAATAAATTGATTATGATCACATAATTTTGCGACATACGTCGATACTTTAAAAATTAAATTCAATGGTTTGCTTCAATTTCATTGAAGATTGTTTGCCTAACGGATGAAAGATCATAAAAAATCTTAGCAACTACAATAAAAAAAAAAAAAAAAAAGATAATAAAAAATGATATCCATCCATTTCTGTTTTTTTCTTTTGGCCTCGATGCTATTTTTATTTTTATTTTTAATTAAAGCAAGGACCTGACACGCGAAAAAAAAGTGAATACGCGCTCGCGCTCTATTGAGTAACCATCAGATGATCATTTCAAATATCCCCTTAAAGTTAGATGAACTGCCATTTTAGAATTAATAATAATGTTGATTGATCAACGGACAATCAATTTGTAGATTATTATTCTACCTGTCAGACAAGATTATTTAAAAAAAAGAATCTTAAAAAAAGAAACAAGATCTAACGAGAGTGATAGGTTTTAACCAATTTACTATACCTTACCCCGAAACATAACGATTTTGGATTTTTGGAATTCGTCTGTGAATTAAAAAGTTCGACTTCTAACAAATCAATTAGCAAAAAACTTAAGCCTTTCGACGAAAAAAAAAAAAAAAGAAAAAAATGTCCGCAAATAGGCCTTCACGTCACCATGGGTTTCGAGGATATGGCGCAGCGGATCATGACCGGTTAAAACGAGCATTGTTGCAACCGGTTCAATCTTGGTAATTAGGAAAAAAAAAACTCTCGAGATTTTGTAATCTCCTTGAAAAATTACTTTATCTTAATACACACCAATGCTTCTTATGGCATTTTAGGGAAAGGAAGTGGCAATACCCTTCTAATGGGAAAAATTTCAAAGTGATGAAATGGGTTAAAGGTAAAAAAAAAAAAAAAAAAAAAAAAAAGGGTTGTCAATGTACTCATTTATTTGATCAATTTGATCAATTAATAATGTATAGATGAATAGATATAATTGTATTGGATTGATTTTCAATTCATATATATATTTAAATATCCATTTGCATTCCCTTATAGCCGATAGGAAGATCAGTTTTATTGATGATGACGACGATGAGGTCGGAAACGTGGCAACACCAACTCGCCTTCCGATTGTTGAGGTAAGTTTCGACCAACTTCAATTCACCTTTTTTTTTTTATTCGTTATATTAATCAAACCTCGATCGTGAGTCACAGGATACTCCAACTCCAACAGCATCGATACAACCGCCCACGGAAGCATCAACGCCTCAACCATCGGAGACGGAACCTGACACCGCAAGTTTCTTGAGACCGCTACCGCACCTATCATCAATACCCAAATCGTCATCGTTACTTCGCGAGGCCTCTCTTACATCAGCGGTTAGCACGCCCGGAGAAACGATTACCACCAACAACAATAACACGCCACGCGATGTAGAATCATCCCTAGGGAACAGCCCGGAGATGGAAGGGTTGGATGATGACGAAGAGCAGATGGATGACGTTATCACGTCTCAATCGATTCCCCAAAAGAACAAAGTTAATAATTTGGAATTCAATGTAGAATTAAAGCAAGTTAATGAAAATATTGATTTATTTAAAAAACAATCAACGAGCGTCGTATTTAGCAAAAATCAAGATGAATACATAGTTCGAGAGAAACCGAGTAATTATGATGAAGGTGATCAACCAAATGAAGATGAGGAGGAAGAAGAGGAAGAGGAGGAGGAGGAGGAGGAATATATGGTTCAAAATGATGAATATGTTGTTCTTCGAAACGATGCCTATAATAGGCAAACTCATCAAGTCGAAGATTATGATATTGTTCAAGTTGAAGATTATAAGGGTTATAATGAAAATGATGATGATGATGATGATGATGATGATGATGATTATGGGGAAAGAGCCGATGAATATGGTAATCAAGATGAAGATGATTATGGTGTAAGAACCGGTGAATACGTGAATAGAATTAGTGAATTTGATACCAGGAATAGTGAGTTTGATGGTAATACAGGTGAATATGGCAGTAACGAATATTTAGGCAGGACAGGTGAATATGGAGTTCAAAATGATGATTATGGGGAACCTTTAAGTGATTTTGATGATCAACCCAACGATTATGTTGGATACGATGACCAACAAGTTGGTATACAGAGTCAAATAAGTGAGTTTCCTGAACCACAAAATCCTTATCAAGAACAGAAAGTGAATGAATTCACCGAACTCAACGAAGCAAAGAACACACAAGATGACGATATTGAACAAGGTCAATTTAACATAGATACATTTGGACAAAATATTCAGGATGCGTCTATTTAAATGATTAATTTCTTTTACCTTTTAAACATACTAATTTTGTTTTATTTGATGAACTTTTTTTATTTATAGATTTAAAACATATAGATTAATAAAAAGTATTTATAAATTATATTTATTGATCCTTAAATGGAGATGGTATTATGTAAATTGATGAAATTCTCCTAGAAATAAAATAATAATAATAATAATAATCATTTTCGAAATGATCAACGTGTCAAATTTGATAAGTTCTCGTTCCACTGAATAAGGGCGTTCTCAAGTACTTAACTCAGGATCGGAAATGAAGTTTTAATCAGTCGGAGTTTGATTTTGAAGATCAATCTGATGAATCTGATGAATAAAATCAGGAGGCCCATTCCATCTTTTTTTTTTTTCCATAGAGTTACGTTGATTGGCTAAAATTTATCATTGATTCAAGCATTTTCTTCATTGGGTAGTTGCCCCTTTTATTCCTTTTATTGGTTATTTTCACTTTTAAACTTAAGGATAAAGGGAAGTCGCTCAAGTATTAATTGCTAAATCTAGTTCAAAATCGGTGATTTTTATATGTTTGGTGATCAAAAAAAGATCGGTCGATCAAAAAAGTAAATGGTTAGTGACTTGGTAGTTTCACTCCCAAAAATGTCTTCTCAAATTGATCATGATGTTAAATTTCAACGTGCCCCTACTTGCGAAGAATTACAAGAATTCGAATTTATTCGAGTTCTCAGTGAAGGTAATTGAATAAATTTTCGATTCTTTAAAGTTAACATTTAATTAATCTCTTTTTATTTGGCAAAGATCCTCGTACAAAAACTGCCAACATTTTAGGGAAACTTAAATCATCATCTGAATCACCACGAGATGCGATATTATTATTAGAAAAATTACATTTTAGTAGTGAAGAGCTTCCAATCCTTTCAAAAGAGAGAGTTCAACGATGGATAGCAAACGATAAGAATGACATATATCATTGGTACAACGGAATATTAACTAAAAACGAAAAATGGCCGGATTTCAAAGTTACACTGATATGGCCCGCTACCGAGACGGTAAATTTTTTTTCATTTTGAGAATCACCTTTTTTAAAATTTAAATAATTATATATATGAGAATACCCGCACGAATTATTAGCATATTCGAAAGTACAGTTTCCAACCTCGCTTTTTGATTCGAGAGACTCCTCAAATTTACGAAACAATTGTTAAACCTTATATCGAATCTATACCTTCGAGCAGAATTCAATGGGTCTATAATATTTTGTCAAAAAAGAGTGAGGTTGAAAAGATCCTGTTAGACGTTGAAGGGGAATCGACAGGATTCCTTCTATTACCAGATATGAAATGGGACAGTGTGACATTAGAAAATCTTTATCTCGTCGCTATTGTACACAGAACAGATATTCGTAGTCTACGTGACCTAAATGAAAATCATTTGCCATTACTTAAGAATATAAGACGTCAAATCCTTGGGTTTGTTCCGCAAAAATATTCGGGTGTTAGATCGGACGAATTGCGCTTTTTCGTTCATTATGTGCCATCTTATTGTAAGTGTTAATTTCCGTGAAATGAAAAAATTTTTTTCCCCCTCTTTGTTAAAAAGTCACTTTATTTTATTTATCTAGATCACTTTCATGTCCATGTTACACATGTTAGAAATGATTCGATAGCTGGGGGACTAGCGATCGCCAAAGCTTACTTATTAGATGATGTTATAGAGAATTTGGAAAATTTTGCTGGAGATTATTATAAGAGAGTGACGCTAACTTATGTCTTGGGAGAGAATGATCCATTATTTTCTCAAATGAATGATATTGGAGCAAGAGTTACATTAGATATCTAAAGTACATTTCTGTCGAATTAAAAATATATTATTTTATTCGGGTTTAACAATCCAGAAAATCGGCTACCATAAGTAATTCTAAGGCTAGATTTGGTTCGATTGGAAATGCCGGTATGTCGGTCTGAGATGCGGTATATCGAGATTTATAATACAAATATTGGCACACTTTCTCCAAGATCACGGCCCTAAATTTTTTTTTTTTAATAAAAATTATAATAAATTTTCATGAGAATATAAAATTGTGAATTGAAAATGAAATAATAATAAGAGAAAGTTCATACGTAATATCTCGAAAATGAACTATGTTCTGGTCAGATTCCATAAATTGTCCTAAAAAAATAAAATAAATAATGATAAATAAAAATAAATAAAATAAATAAATAAAATAATTTGTTGTCAATAATTACCAGGACTTGATAACATGTTCTTTATAGTACCAGAAATCAACGCGGCATTTCTTTCAATATAAAATTCGAATCCGTCTGAGCTTGTGAGCTTAACATATTCTGTTGAGGAGTGAGATTTGTTCTGCGACATGGTGTATTGAACAAATTCAGGGTAAGTGGTCCACAAATAAATTAGTGTATAGAGGCACGTGAAATTAGGTTCGGATCGGCAGATGCTGTGACCTTGATAAAAAGAGAAAAACATGATCCAAGAGACAAATCGTGAAGGTCTTTAATCGTGACGTAACAAATTCCACCGAACATCTGCCAATGCATTATACCGATATGAAAATCTCAACGAGTTATAATATAGGAATGTATAAGCGTTATTACGGTTTCTTGCCTAGATTTTCACAAAAACAAGGAGATTATGAGCGTAAACATTGCGAGGATGATAGCGTTATCATCATTTAGGAGGACACTGTCTTTTCCCTTGTCAATTATGAAATCATTTCGTGTATAAAAGAATCTGATCAAATTAATGATTCATTATGAGATGGTAAGACCAAATTTTTTTGAACGGCAATTCATCATCATTAGATCAGATGCAACATATTCCGAGAGACGATTTACTCGCGCGTTTCGAGAAATGTAAGGAGGTCATCATGGTCAAATTGTAATTTATATACATACAAGGTAAGGACTTCTGTGACAACGGAAAATAGACTATAGACAAGAGTAAAGGAAAAATATTAATTAGATTTGATGTCACGAGACAGGGATGAGACAACACTGAAATTGTTTCATGCTCGTCATCCTGTTACCGTGCATCCAAATGTAAATGCCCATAAGTTGCTTACCCTTCTAATTACTAGATTAATGTTCTATGACCTTTATGATACTTCTAAATTCTTTCATTTAAAATTTATTTTAACACATGATTATATTAAATTAACACCTTTTCATCGTATGATGATCTTACCTTATATGTTTGATACGGCTTTCGGATTCTCTATTAATTTAATATTTAATATAAACTAGAAAAAATTAAAATATCGATAAATTAAAAAATCCATAACCATCATAGTGACATGACAAAGTTATTTTTTTTTTTTAACTTTCGATTTTGAAGATGAGAATTTTTTGAAATAGCACGCGTCATAATGACATCTTCGATGTTGTAAATCGAAAGATTTGTTAAGATTTAACGATCGTCGTTAATCATTATAACGAAAGCCCTGAACCTAAAAAAACGTCGAAAAATTTATCGTCCAAAATTTTATTACACTTGATCATTCGATTCTAAAAATTAGCGGGGAAATAACATTAACTGGGTCAAAAGATCAAAATATGATGAATTTATGAATTCATGGAACCTCATTGAGATCTATCCCCCTTATTCTAGCCTTATCTTTTTCGGACAAAAACATTTGTACAAAAAATACAAGTATAATCGGGGGTCGATGATTTTAAGTGTCAAATGATGAAGTATCATTTGCTTAATTTGACACATAATACTATGTTTGACAATCTAGTATTACGAATTACAAATGTCAAAAACGTCATGATGATGCCTATCCTATCCAATAATTTTTTTGATGTTTCAAAACAATTTTTTTTCCAAAAATTTTCGTCCTAAAAATATGCGTAATGCCCACGAAGCAATATGTCATCATATTAAAGTTTGGTCACAACCACTTTTTTTTAAAAATAAAATCTCTTTTCTCACCTAGATGTGAAAAATATCTTAAGCAAAAGTGGGCTGGATTTGTGTGGCGTTACTTAACCGGAGAAGGTGGCGAGGTATGAACTCCACTATTCTTGCCTGATAGGGTATATGATGTATTAACTTTTGTTTATTTAAGGATTTTTGGATATTTGGTTCACAGAAAATCATTCCCAATTTTGAAATTTCGTGTCGTGTCGTGATTGATGATTGCCGCAGCTGGTCTTTAATTACATCAATAGTTATAAAAAAAATTTTTTTTTAACGAGTAGATCATGACTCTATTTAGCAAAGATCCATGATGCATATCTTCATCATACTAAAAAAAATTTCCCCGATGTTATGGTAATACGATATGGGCTGCAAATTTTTATATATAATGTAGAGAATTGACCTGAGGTTTTCAACAATTTTTCTAGATTTGCCAAAAAAAAAGTTCTCTAAAATATCAGAATGCAAGTCGGTCCAGATTATAAAGGAAAATCAAATATGGTCGATGATGATGGAAAAAGATTTGTCGGAACCGATAAATGGATGGTTTCTGTGGTCATTGAACAAGGTAATTAATTTAACATAAAATTTTCAAAAAAAAATTTCCCCATCTTTTTTTTATTTTTAATTAAAAAAATTTTCATCTTTTAATAGGACGAATAATATCGAAATTCGACTACAAAATGACGGCGTATGATCCACAAACGTTCAGAGCATTCTTCGAACCCGTCAAAGAAACGAAACCGATGCGATTATACGCTTCTCCTTCAAAGCGTCAAAGACCTCAAATATTATCAATCACATTACTTGAATTTAATCAAGGTCGTATCACCGCCGAAGAACAAATTTCGTTACATCCTCTTTCGTTCTCTGTTAATGAACCTGGAACTTTCTGTTTGTTCCGTGACCGATCATTTTGGCATATGTACGTCCAAGTCGGTATGGAAGATCATTCTTACGAATTTAATAATAGGAGAGACCCCCAAAGATGGGTGACACCCTTAGGTTTTGAAGTTGAAGTTGACATGGATCTTTCAGAAAAGAAAAGTTCGGATTTTGTTGAAACTTATCATGAAGATAAAAGTGATGATAAATCCGAAAAGAATGAAGCTGATGTCAATGAAAAATCAAGCCGAGATATTCTTACACCACCTCCTATGGTTCGTTCGACTTCTTCTTTTCCGTTCCATAACCGCACTTTCACCGATTGGTGTGTAAACAAGCCGCCAAAATGGAAAAGAAAATTAAAGAAAGTCGCTAATAACGTTCGACATGCATTTAACCGTACTAGATTCTAAAAAAATTTTGCGATTGCGCGAGATATTATATATATATAGTGAAACGGACTTTTGTAAATAGTTATGGACAATAATATTCATTATATTATTCCAAAAAAAAAATTCCCAGGTACAAGTTTTCCCTGACACCCGCTCTTTTTGGTGGATACAATACCCCCCTTTTTTTTTTCGATTCTAATCGTGCTCCAAGCGATTGATTTTTTTTTAATTACAGATCTCACAAATTTCAAATTTATGATTTTTTTATACCACCACAATTTTTTTTAAAAGAAAAATTTAAGCTATCATCTTTCAAAAATTAAGCTTCACACCTTTATTCCGCAAAAACCCTATTTTATAAGCTTGAATAAGTTTAATCTAATACTTTATTATATTTATTATATTCTTTAATTATTATTATTTTTACTTTATAATTTTTTTTTTGTTATTCGTTTAATTATTTTTGTAAAAAAGAAAAATTTTTTTTTTTTTATAAAAGTGTTAAACGAATAATTTATATCTTAATAATTTAATTCTATGCTTTAAAATTTGTGAATATCTGTATATTATGATTCCATTTTTCTGGCATTTTAATTCGTTTTGTCTATATAAATATTATTGTATTTGTATTATTGTATCATTTTATTGGGGATATTGATTGAGAATAGAAATCGTTTACTTTGGGTTTTAATAAAAAATAATTCTTTGAATTTTTTTGAATTTAATTTTAGAAACGTGATAAGACGTTTTTGCTTAAAAATGAAATTAGATCTGCTATTGCTTTTTGTATCTTGGTTTTCGGCTAATTCTTTTTAAACTTAACTATACGTCATCCCAAGAATTTTAATTTTTATAAATAAAGAAACTGAAATAGTCGAGCCCATTTCGCCATACTAATTTTGATCCTTTACCAAAAGGGAAAAAGACTCTAGAAATATTAAGATAGTAACTACAAATAGGCGCTTAGAATAAAAATATATCATGGAATAGAAAAATTTTCGTCCGTGCTAAAAAATTCTTTTTCTGCTAACAAATTCTTAAAACCACCTAAAAATCGGAATTTTGTAAGAAATCGGTGTACCATATGTTCAAATTTGATATCAAAGGCGGTCGGTCACATTTAATATTTGTTCATTAATCTAATAAATTTGGTTTGTATCATTAATTTCGGGATGATTATAAAAAAATACTTAATTGTATTACAGCTAATTTAAAAGTTACGAGACTGAAGTCCATATTTTCATGAGAAAAAAAAATTTGTTTCATCTTTATATTTACTTTTTATTGTTATTCTAGTAATCATAAGATCACACATAAATCGAGCGACTAAATTCTTTATTTTATTTCGAAATATAAACTAGAACTAAAACAATTTCTTCATATCTACACATCATTAACTTCGCCGGCGAACTACCGGCATAATGCATACAAGGTTCCTTTCCATACAACTCTATTATCTTTTTGGTAATGCATCATTACCCACTCGTTTCCATTCCAGTTTGTTGTAAAACCATGTTAGGTTCAACCTCAACGTCATCTTCGAACTCGGTGGTTCTGAAGACATAACTTCTGAGGCATCTTGGCATCGAAAGGGGACCACCTGAAATTCTTGCCCATACGAGCTAAGTTTTGTGCTTTTATTAGCCTTTTCTCATACGGTAGGGTTTGAAAGCTTTAATAAAATATAGTCTGATTAATGAGATATTTAATCAATATTAATTAAATTAAACAAATTCTTAAGCAGCATCATTTTTGAAATTTTAAGTAAAAATAGATATTTGTTTAAGAGACTTTTCAAATTTATTATTACCTGATTCCAATAAAAAAGTTGAATATTATTCAAAACCATTTAACTTATTATAATAAATAAATATTAATTATTAATTTTTTTTATATAAAAATTGAACGTCTTTATATTAGTATTTAAATCAATAGTTAAATCATTTGAATTGTATTTAAAACATTTTACTTTGTTAATCAATAAACAAAAGTCATCATTCATTATTATTTACTCTATTGTAATTAAAAAAAAGATTTAAAATTATTAAAAAAATGAAAATTTTATTAATATAAGTTAACTATATTAAACTTATCCTTTAAATACATTTTTAAAAGGATTACTATTAAAAGAAAAATTTAAAAAAAAAAAGCAGAAAATATTAACAAAATTTACCATTGCTTTCAAAAGGAATTGTTCTAAATAACTATTTTTTTAAAAAAAAGAAGCAAAGTTTATAAGCTTTGAAGTTATTTAGCAGAATCTAAAAATTCTAAAAATAATAGAATTTTAGAGTAATTTTTCTAAATTACATAATAGTAGTCTACTTTAGCTAATTGAAAATATTAACTATCTGATTAAAGATAAATAAAGCAAAATAGTACTCAATAAGCTTTTAATGCTACATTCATTTTAATAAAGTGAAATAATATTAATATAGTCAATATAAATTAACTTAGATTTTTAAATAAGCTTATTATTAATATTTATACTATATAATAGGTAATAGAAAAATCAAAAAAATTTACTCTAATATAATATATAATCTTGAGATATAGGTAAGATATATATGTATCATACTTAGTAAATAGTTCAATAGAATTATCCAAAATATTTTATTTAAAGAAAATTAAGAATCACTTTCTCTGTTTATAATAGTTTTTATTTCATTTAATAATTATATAGATTCTATCATTATTATAATAAAAAGTATATAAGTTATTCCAATTATATATCTAAAAGTAACTCTATTTATAATTATAACATTTTTTTTATTTTGTATAAGCTATAATAGTATATAAAAATTAAAAGCTAATTTTACATAAACTGTATAGTCAACTCTTTTTACAACGAATTTTGATATTATGAATTTTATAATACAACAGATTTTTAATGTCAGACAGATTTTTAAATATAAAAAATTCTTACTATACTAAATTTATAAATTAAAAATTCATACTATGTTTAACAAATTAAAGTCAGAAAAATTATATTGTCACTGTGGAATTCTTCAACTTAGGGTGGTCACGTTATCAAGTCTCTACTCAAAATTCTAACTGCGGTCTACTGCAGTTAAGACGTTAGGATCTGTCTAACTCTTAACTTTACCAAATTTACGTGTTAAACTTAAACAAATTTATTAAGTATAAAGACTTGAAAGACGAGATTATAAACATTTAATTAAAGAATTTAGATGACGAACACAATTACAAATAATATGTAGAAATCACATCAGACTATATGAAGACATGCAGAGGCAGAAAGATATAAGTTTTAAATGATTCCTTTATTAGTATTAAAACTCGTATTTGCAAACGAGTTTACAAATCTGCAAAAGAGTTAATTTATAACATAAGCAAAAAGTCTATCTATTTATATAAAATTTCTTTTGTCATAGCTAACTAATTACTATGCTATAAACTAACTAATTTAATAAAACAAAATATAAGTAAAATAAATATATTGAAAATAATAAAAATACGTAAAATAATAAAATATGAAATATAATAAAAATAATAATAAAATTTAGAATATTACAAATAAGTATAACACTAAATATTCTTAGACTTCATTTAATTCGTAAAATTAGAATTATCAT